TTATTGTTGACATCTGGAAATTACACACATGTGCAGAACGCTGGAGGACAAGAAGGCAATTCTTTTACCAAAGTCAACCAAAGTGGCGCTGCTGCAGTAGAACCATTCTGTACACAAAACGAGACCTGGAGATGTTGGTGTTATTAATTCAGGTCAGTGCGCCACAGCAGAGAGACAATAACCCAGAAAAACTGTTAAAGAACAACTCATAACCACTTGTTTTCTTTTTTCTCGTTCTCCGAGTCAGCTATGTTGCACACAGATGCATTGCCATAGCAACTGACTAACAACAGTTCCATGAGAGTATCAGGATTCAACACCAAAAAACAAGCAGAGAGAACATTCAGTGTGTTACAGTTTTATGTTTTCAGGCTTGATGTTTATTCTTACATTATTAAGTGCTCAACTGAGCACAGCAGACTACTTTAAACATGAGCCTGGATAAAAAAAAAATGCATGTATTAAAAATAAATGTATAAAAATTTAAAACAAAAGCCAATGATATTTGAGAGAAAATGTTTTTTGTCCTTTCTGTTACATATTTTGCATAAGTAATCATCTTGTGGGATTATGTCAACTTAGTCTTGTATAATAAAAGTTAAAAAAAAAATCTCTTCAAACCTTTGGAGAGGTTCTTGAGGGCGTAAAGTGCCAGGACGAGAACGGGCAACCCGATGCCAAATGTCAACCACTTCATCACAGTGGCTACCTGCACAGCTGTAGATGTAGTGCTGTTGCCGGTGAAGTTGCTGGTGAAGTTCTCAGACTGAGTCGTGACCTGTGTGCTGGTATCAGCCATAGGAGGCAGCGCTCTTCCTGTTTATGTCTTCCTGTGAAGTTGTTTCTCAGCTGATGTTGTGTGAACAGCAGCAGGTCATGATGACCATCTGAAATAACAAAGGATAAAACTCACGTCATCTAGTTTAGTTGTGACAAAATTAAAATGTTTCTCACATTAAAACCACCAAATTCAATGTATTCCATTGGGATTAAGTTTAATGATCAACATAATATATTACATAACTCTGGAATTGAAGGAAATGCGTTAAATATTGACGTCCGCTGAATGTTGTGTTTGAAGGTTCACCTAACGCCCGCTGACAACATTTTCCAGACTTAAAAATGAAATACCATTAGACGTCCGGCGGACTTTCAGTTGAAGGTATGCTGACAATTTTCAGTGTTCATTTGCAGTAGATCAAAATAAAATATTATATATAGTTCAGATAGGTCTGGAAATGATAATATGGCAGCAATTTCTTTTTAAAGGTTTTATTGCCTCTATTGGCCTTTATTTCATAGTTAATTGACAGGAAAGTTGGTAATGAGAAATGGGGAATGACTTGCAGCAAAGGTCACCAGGCCAGGAATACATGGGTCGTGCTTAACCCCTGCGCCACCATAGCACACCCATATGGGAGTAATTTCATTGGAATGCAAGGCTTTCCTGTGGAACAGTTGTCTTCCATTTCCTAGGGATATTAAGCCAATCTTGTAACAAATTGGAAAATTGACAACCACTTGCACTTGGCAAAGAATGTATTCATTTTACAATATCCCTTGGCCTGCATGGCCTCTGGCATACAAACAGCAACACGTCATTTATGGGCTGTTTAAGACCACCTCTAAACGTTAAATTAGACGCTTCAGACAGTAACGAACCCATCTTGATATAAAAGTTATTGATCTAAAACAGCCAACCATATCACTGAGGTGGAATTGTCTTAACTGCCACACACAATGGTCTCCAAATGCGCGTCTTTGTAATTTTGAATTTTCCTAAGGTAATTAATTTCTTCTTTGTGGCTTTGATTTTTTATGATTATGTTGCACTGTTGGTGTGATTTTAGGCACTTGATAGTTTGAATAAAATTCTGGTTGATTGTGAAGTTGAACAGTGACTGTTGTCCTTATGGTTTCACTTGTACACACGACATTAACGGACCCGGGGAGACGAGATAACAACGAGCAACAGGTAGTAAATATCTCGCTTTCTTAACATGGGTTAAGTGGTCCTCGGACTGAAAAAGTTTAAGAAACACATATGCACCTTTTCCACCTACTCCACTTCAGCAGCCCAGGTGTTCTATACTATCCTGATAGGATCTGCGCCCTCTAACTATCAAATTATTTAAAAAAAATGTCAACATACATTTGTTTGTGAATAAAAAAGTAAGTCTGATGTTGAAGTGAAAAACTGTTTCTATTTATATTTTCATAATTGTCTTCGCAATAGCGGGGGGGGGGGGGGGGGGGGGGGGACCCACCAAGAAACTCTTTCCCTCTG